CAGTTAGTTATTCCCCGTTACTATTCATTACTCCCATTCCTCTCTCCCTTGTTACAACCCTTCCCTAAACCTGCTCTCCCGCGGTTCACAGTCTCTGTCACCCGTCTCCTGCGGCTGCTGCTGTGCTTTGGGGCATGTATTCCCCGCCTCGAAAAATCACCAATAGAAATCACTTCTTTCTAAAAGAAACAATCACATATTTTTCCAAGACAACCATTTTACACAGACAACATCCCTGCGTTTTTCTCTTCCACTATGCCGACGTCTTCACAAACCGACTTGCTCTCGGCCGCAAAACAAAGTTCTGAATTCGAGAACCTCCCCAGGAAGAACGCAAACCGCGGTGTCCCCGCGGCCCGACAGCGCGGCCGCTCCGGGCCAGGCCGTGCGGGGAGCGCGCTCGGGGCGATGCCCGAGAGCTGCGCCCGCACCGCGGCCCTCGGTCCCGCCTGCCGGAGACACCCCGGTGAGCGGCGGGCTGGGGCAGCCCCGGCCCCGGCCGAGCCCCCGGGCCCGGCCCGGTGCTCCGAGCGCCGCGGCCCCGCCGCTCACCCCGCGGCCGGAGGGGCCGGGCCCCGCCGGGGACACGCGTGGGGAGCCCCGCCGGGCTCTGTCCCCGGGAAGGGCAGGGCGGCCCCTCCCCGGGCCCCCGGCGGAGGTCGGTGCCGGCCCCCGGGCCGCCGAGAGGGGCACCCCCCGTTCCCCGCCCGCCGCCGCCGCCCCCCCGGGCCCGCCGCAGCCGCAGGCGGGCCGTGCCCCCGCCCCGCACTCACCCGGGCCTGCCGGCGGGCCCTGCCGGCGCGGCCCGCCCGGCTCAGCGGCTCATGCTGACGGTGCCGCCGGCGCGGCGGGCGGAGCAGCGGCCCGGGCTCCCCGCGCCGGCCCCGGCCCCGCTTCCGCCGCCGCCCCCGCCCCGCCCGGAAGCGCCGCCCGGCCCCGGGCCCGCAGCGCGGCCCGGCCCCGCTCACCTGGTGCGGCGGCGGCTCCGCGCTCCGGAGCGAGGGCAGGGCGCGGAGCGGGGCGGCGGCGCGGCGGGCTGCCCTCCCCCGGGGCCGCCCTCCCTCATCCTCCCCGCGGCGGGCGGCCGGCGCCTCATGAGTCACCGAGCCCGGGCCCGCACACGTGCCCGGCCCCGCCGCCTCCGGCCGGGGGAGGAGCGGCAGGGGCGGCCCGCGGCGCTGCCGGGGCCCGGCGGGGTCCGCTCGACCCCCAGCGCCCCCCGAGCGCCGTCCCGGGGAGGCGATCCTCCTGGGGTCCGCTTCCCGGGCCGGCAGGAGCGCCGTGCTTTCCTCCTGCTCCCCGCCCTTCCTTCATCTTGGCGAGTCGAGCCCCTTGCAGAGCGGTCGGGTTTGCCGGTGTGTCCCAGCGAGCCCAGCCCGGCTGCTGTGCGGCCCGAGATGGGGCTCCCCGGACACCCCACACCCGCCCCGAGGCTCTGGTGGGACCCTGTCCCTCGAAGAGCAGCGGGCCCATCACAGGGACCCCAGGTCAGCTCTGCCCAGGGTCACCGATGGAAGAGTGCAGGAACGGAGCCACAACAGTATAGAGGAGCCAGACACGCGTGGACGTGTCCCCTGACAGGACACTCACACTCAGGGCCACGTGTGAAGGAAACTCACCAAACCACTGTGGTGCCAACCACAGCACAGGAAAGACATAAACTGGAAATATCCCAAGGGAGGGCAAAAAATAACATGAGATTTAAAAGCATGACTTACCAAGGTGAAAGGAGCTAATAGAGAAGACTAAGCAAGAACCTGCCTAATTTCCCTTGCCTATAAAAAGTCACTATAATCTTGATGGTTACATATTGTTCTCTGCACCTACAGGACAAAAAAAGAGAGGGACACACACACCTAAACACTCAGAGGGGCAGGCAAGCAGCCAGGCAGGGGCATCTGTGGGGGCATGGGGACATGTGGGGTCAGGTCCCACCACTGTCAGCCCACCAGGATGTGGGACAAGAGCTCCAGGGAGAGTGGTGGGAATGAAAGCACAGAAAGAGCTGGAAGCGGGGACAAAAATGAAGGAAGCGCAGCAATGATGATCTGAGATTTAAGGGCACTATAAAGAGCAGGGAACAATTGTCCCTGAATTTATGTCATTGAGGAAGATGGGCTTAAACTGCAGGGAGAGAGAGTCAGGGTGGACTGAGAGGGGGAAAAAGGACTGACAAGGTACTAAATCAAGGTCAGGCACTTGTCTGGAGGAGCATTCAGGTACACTCAACCGACCCTGCCAGGGGCAAGGGAACAGATATAGTGATCTTCTGTTGTCCCTCTTTCAGCTCTTTGTTCCCTTGGCCTTGCCAGGTTTACTCTGTTTGATCTCACTTCTCTGTTACAGCAGCAGCCTAGTCCCTCCTCAGGCTCACAATAACCTACTACACTGTTCATCCTTTTTCTTTTTTTTTTTTTTTTTGTGCCATTTGCCATAAAAGTGTGCCATTTATGCCTTTGAAAATGGTGTTTTTCAGTTCTCTCTACGTTACCATTTTAATAAAGTCCATGGCAGGATTCTCTTTGTCCCTTGCTATCAAAGTGGCAGCCAGGCCTGAGCCAAACTGATACCCAAACCCTGCAAATATTCCAGCAGACATTTTGCTTAATATTTTCTTCCAGACTATTATATTATAGGAATAACTGGGTACTTCTCACTGCATATGCACATGTGCTTTCAGAAGGCTGTCAATTATTCTCTTTTCCCTTAAGGTTTTAGTTTCGATTTCTGTTTTCTTCTGGAGGGAGCAATTCAGAGCACTGTTGCCTCATGGCAAGCGTTCCAGCAGTTTCTGTTCCTCCTGGTTGCTAAATTTAACGGTGCCAGTTAGCCAAGACAGGGAAAACCCTTCCTGCCCTGGCCACAGGCTCTGCCTAAGCAGCTCTGGTGGGCATCAAAACCCGGGTGGGTGCCTGGCCCCCTCCCTGGGGGTCTCTCAGCAGCAGGTTCCAGATGACCAGCGTTGCTGTCTCCCTGCAGGAATGACAGGTATCACAGGGAGCTTCCACAGAGGCTTTAACTGCTCTGGGTTTTGGGAAGCATTATAAAACAGACATGTCACACGCTTGCAGCTCCACCTCCAAAGAACTTTCTCCTCACTTTGGTCCTGAAAATTAGGAGCCATCAAATGTTCATGGAGTGAAAGAGCGTGGTTCCTGCACACAAGCTTGCTGTCAGCATAACCTACGCCCTGCAAAAGAACATCATAACATCTGTAAGGGGTTGCTTTTGTCCATAAGTCCTGTAGCTGTTTCCCATCGGCCCTCCACACACAGGCACTGCAGGCATGGCAAGGGAAGGGCTTTGAGGGCTGCAGCAAAGAGTTGGGTACTGTGGGTACCTTAGAAAGCAAAGCACAAAAACTGCAAAAGGCTTTTCCATGGCTAAGTTTTCAAATTTGGTTTCTGATTTCCCTTTCAGCTCCCTCACAGCTCAGGCCAGTGCTCCAGCCCAGCAAGGGCACCTGACCGAGAGGCTGATGCTGCGCTCCACGTGCGTGCCTCACTGCTCTCCTCCTCTGGGGAAACACCAGATACCACAAACACCTCCGTCCAGAACACCTTCCACTCCTTGGTGACTTTATTCTGAATTCCCATCCCTCTCTCCTTTACTATTTCAGTGTTAATAGCACGTCACCATCTCCCACCAGGGACATGCAGTGGCCACGGCAGCCCTTGGGGCTGGATGCTGTGACAGGCAGCGGTCATGCAGTGGTGCCCTGTTGCCAGAAAATAAACACACACACTCCCTCCTTCCCCCAGAGCAGGTTCCCAATTTCAGCTGTGGTTGGATTCCAGCCTCTCTCTGTTGCTACAGACTGTGGCTTTAAACTGGGTTGTTCATCTCCAGCCAACAGGAATAGGAGGCTCAAAGTAAACCATGAGGCACATAAAATCAGAGAAGACATGAAAATGACCAGCAAAAAGACAAAGGGTTTATCTCCACTATCAGGTTGTAATAAACACATCCATCAACACAGGCACCTTGTTCCAACTATTTCTACCAAAAAGCTCTGGGGGTTGTAGGCCTGTGAAAACTTTGTCTTTCCATCTTCTCCATCTCTGGTAATTTGTGTTTACAATTCTGAGCATCCCTTATTGCCCATACACAGTTGATCCAGAATTTGTTTGTTTTTACCTCACAAATGAAAACAATCAGGACTAAAGTGGCATCTCTACTCCAACTAAATGCTGCTTTTATTCATATGTAGGTACTGAGTTTTTTGTTGCCTTCTGAAATTTCAAATGATCACTCAATTACATCTGCCACATCCTTCAATCCATTACAGATTAAAACAAACTACTTTGCTGTTTACTTTGAAATCCATGAGTCCTGAAGACTAGAAGAAATCTGCCTTTAAATTTGCCTTTTCCCCCATCTGTAGTGGGGGCAGAACTATGCAAAGTTATATTTTGTGAGATGAAGTGATAATGAATAATTCCTCACTCTCTTTGGGAGCCAAATGATGTTGCCTGCTCTAGAGATCTGAACTCCAGCTGCTTCCTCGTGAGGCTTTTTGTTCTATTACACAGCCTGGGGTGGATATAATTACCTTTGCTTTTTGTGTGCTCTAAACCCCCCTGCAACGGAGCAGGCACCACTTTGGAAACAAATGGATTAAATGAGCATCCCTCCTTGGAGCCTCTGGAGCATCCCAAGGGATGCAGGGATGCAGGCACCTCACTGACCCCGAGAGCTTTCTGATACCTGCTGCTTAGCTTTACTGGCTTTTTGTTCAAGAAACTAGAGACTGAAAGGACAAAGAAACATTTGGTTTTCTTACAGAAAAATGTCACGATCTTACACTTGTGTTTCAGTTAAGGTTAATCCAGATCAGAACAAAATCCATGACAACTGTCAGCCCATCATATTTTTCTATCATTTGCCTGCCTCTCATGGCTTTTGCACCGTGCAGGCAGTGCAGATGTGCCCTCAGATAATGCAGCTCTGGCTGCACAGCCCCGATGGGCTCTGGGAGTGAATATTGTACTGGGCCATTCACGCTCTTCCTCTTCCTGCTGGAGCACAAAGAACTCCGTGAGGCCATTTCCTCCCTCAGCACTGGGCATTTTCAAAGCACTTGTTCCAGTCACAAAGTTTCTGTACAAACTCCATACTGCCCAAATTCTTCTTAAATAACGTCCATAGGGCAGTGTCTGCACAAGTGACCTCTCCTATACACAGACCTAAAAAAACACTGGCACAGCTGGCAGGGCAGCTCCCGCCTGCCCCCTCCACCCCTGGTCACAGGGCCGAGCTCCATGGCCAGTGTTTGGTTGCACTGTTAATTAGGCTTGTTTAATTTCATTTTCCCGTGGGAATGACCTCCCATTGGGTTGGGTGCTGCAGTGGGACAGCCCTGCCAACGACTCTGCCAACTCCTGCTGCTGCCAGCACTGCCTTGGGGGCTGGTGCCTGCCAGGATCCCCACTCGGACACCTCCCTCTGGGACAAGGCACAGCTGCAGTCTGCCTTAGGGCTGGGTTTGTCCCTGGGCATCTAGGAAGGCATTTCCCACTATATCCTGTAAAGTCAGTGCATTCCATTCACATGGGTTTATGCAGGTTACAGGGGTTCAAACCCCAGGGCACGGGTGTTAAGCACAAACTCTGTCACAACAAGATGTCTGGGCAGGGCAGGGTAAAGAGGAAACCTGAAGGAAATCTCGGATCCAAGAGTCTCCCAGATCATCATACAATACCAACAACAATCACCATCTGGGAACCCAAACACCACAACAGATTAATTATCTTACAGCAGAGAAAGATAAAGAAACACGTCATTGCACACTTGTGCGTCACTCAAACCAAAAGGCGTAAATCAGGACTCAAGGGCAAAGAGAAACACTGTGTGCAGAGAAAGTCTTTTGAGAGGCATTTTATGGTTTAGAGTCCCTGGAGCAAGAAAGAGGAACTCTCCTGGCTGAGCCAGCACAGCCCTGGCCTGGCACAAGTGTGGCAAGAGTCTAACTCTGAAAATGGTGCCAAGGTGCCAGCCCTTCCCTCTGAACCCAGCGAGGCAGCAGCAGGGCCGGCAGTGACCCGCCCGGGCTGGCAGGGCCCCGTGGCACAGCAGTGGGACACCAACGGGTCCTGCAGTCCAACGTGAGGATGGCTGTGGGCATTCTCTTCACAGCTGTACCTCAGGAGGAGTAAAAGTGCTTCTTCACTGCAGAGCTCCCACCCACGAGGGGCACAGGCTGCTCTGTACCTGGCCTCTCACACACACAGACAGAAACCACAGGGCAAATCTACCAAGCACCAGCTATGTCCTGTGTCTTCATTTTATCTCACCAAATAGCTGCCATAAAACAGTCACAAAATAAACCTGGAATCTGATTTTCCTCCTCCCCCCCCCCAGCTTTTATTAAAGGCAGGCACACGAATTACTTTGAACCCATTGCTGAACACCTCGGAGAAGCCACTTGCTTCCTGATGCCCTTATTTGTGCAGGCCTGGTGAAGCTCAAGTTCCCCAAAAAGGTCTGACACGAGCTCCAGCGCTGCCTCCCCGCTCCTTCCGGAACCGCTTCCGTGGCCACGGGGCCAGGAGACATTTTTGTCTCTGTTTCACTGATATCATCCCCACGTGCATTTTTGCAAAGAGAACGCACAAATTTCTGCCCGGGCCCCTTCCACTGTGTTGTCCTTTTATTTTTAAAGCCTCCTGCAACCATTAGGTGATAATGCTTTTGTTAAAAGTAATAAAACGCTTATAATCTCTCCTAGTCCACGAGCTCCTAAAAGAGCAAAATCCACACAGCGAGTTCCCAGCAAATATGGTATGCATTATGGCTTTTGGCCTTCCTGCAAAGGCGATCCCTTTCCTGCTCTGCAGCTCATGCTAGAGCCCCTCCAGCAGCGCTCCCCCAGCCCCCACTGCTGCCTGTGATCCCACATTGTGTTTAGTCAAGGAACACTGGCGGGACGTTCAGCAGCAGCAGCGGATTTCACGGTAGGAAGCCGAGAGTTCCCTCTCAGAGGATTAATGTCGTTTTAATTTCTCATGGGCTTAAAACCAACCACCCCCAGGGAGCTGCGGCAGGGCTGAGGAATGATGCTGCAGGGATGGGCACCCACCCGCCTTGCCCAGGGCTGGGGGGACCCTGCTGAGGAGCAGCACTTGGCCCCGTTGGCAAACGCACTCAAACTGGGGCAGTGCCTCAGCCAGCCCTGCCTTCGCTCCACCAACGGAACAGAACAGATGTTAACCCAGCTCACGGGGTCCTGCGAGCACATGAAAACCTTTCCCTCAAGTTTCCCAGCACAGGAAGCCCCACAGGGGATGAACTGACAGAACTGTAGTAAAAGCAGCAGGAAAGAGAAGATGCCCCCGCCGGCGCCGTGGCAGCGGCTCCCGCGCCATGTTTGTCCCCATGTGTCCCCAAGAGCGGTTGGTGCTCGCTCAGGATGGAGCCCCACGCCACGGGGGTCTCGCTGCACCCCCTGCACGAACCACCAAAGGCCTCTGGTGGGGTCTGACTGCAACTTTTAGCGCTGTTTGGAACCGCAGACTTTTGTTACTTAAATTTTGCCTAGCAAAATCTTACATTTAGGCTCAATTTCTCTAACGTACTATTTAAATTTCCGTAACTCAGGACAGCAGGACCCACACGTGAAGGCAACGCAACGAAACACGGTGATAAAACCACCCAGCTTTGCCAACAACTCACCGTCACCCACCGACAACCGCCGTGTGCTGCTGTGATCTGCGGGGCTGGCGAGGGCCGGAGAGGCTCAGTCCCCACCTGGGGCTCCTGCGCGGTGCGTGGGGCGCTCGGCAGCGCTGCCGGCACAGCCACCGCCGGCACAGCCACCGCCGGCACAGCCACCGCCTCCCGGTGCCACCGGGCCAATTACAGCATGCCGCTCTCTGCCACCGCGGGACGTGGCCTGGCGAGGGGGAAGCGGTGACAGGCCGGAGAATGACACTCACCAAACCTACGGGGCCAAGGGTGGGCGAGCCCTACGTGCAGTGGTAACCATGGCCACGGGCTGGGGTTTGCATATACAGTTTCTCAAAGAGGCAAAAATTTACTTTCAGCTACTAGAAAAGGACGTGCCAGAGGAAGTGCCTTTGCATGGCAGGCGCAGCCGGAGCCGCGGCGCAGCTCGGTGCCAGGGAGCTCAGGCACGCGGTTTGGAACGCTCCTGTTGAAGACATCTCTGCTGCAACCTGTTAATCTGCCCGCTGGCATCTGGTGGGGGAAACAGGTTCAGGCCGCTGACACGGCCATCGCCTGCGGTCCCTGGAAATGGGGCGATGGCTGGGGAGGCGCCCCCGGGGCTCCTTCCTGCTGTGAGCCACAGATAACGGCACCCACAGCAGGGCCGGCCTCCCCAGCCAGGGACTTTCAGACCCATTTTCGCTATTTCTGCCACAGTGCCGGCATCTCCGGCCTCCCAGTGCCAGCAACCCTTCCACCCCAAGCTGTGCTGCGCTCAGAGCTGGCTGGAAACGTCCCTCACTCAACCCAGGGGGAAAGCTGCGGCCCCTCAGCTTCACTGGTCACGCCAGCCTTGGCAGAACGCAAGGAGCAGGTCCAGCCTGGCAGTGCCCTTTGGTGGGCATGGCCCAGGGCAGGGGCTGTGTGGGCAGCAGGGATGCCCCGGTGCAGGCACCGCTGCAGCAGAAATGCTGCCTGGCTCCCACTCGTGGTGCCAGCTGCTCCCCACTCCGAGCAGGAGGGCTGGTTCCTGCAGGGCACAGAGCTGCCTCTCAGAGCTGGTCCCTGCACTGCCCCAGCTCCAGGGTGTGCTGAGGGTGCAACACACGGGTGAAGCAGCCTGGAACCACTGCCAGGAGGCTCTGCAGCCAGAGCCAGCGTGGCCACGGACAGGATTTCCTGTCACGCCTTTCTGCTCCTCCACCAGCGTCCCCCTCCACTCCTGCCTTGCATCAGAGTGCTGGTGGCTTCACCCTCCCACCCTACAGGATGTTACAGGAGTTAAGGGAACTTCCATGATCCTCTGCCAGTCTCGTGGCACATACCAGCCACCTCTGGCCTGGCACAGCCCCAGCCCGGCCACAGCCCCAGCACCAGTGACAGGAGCAATGTCTGCATGGTCTCTGTCTGCGTGGCTTCCTCACCGAGGCCACTGCAAGAACTGCCCCACAGTGAAGAAAATAAACCTTGAGTCCTCATTTCAAACACTAAGAAATGACAAAATCAAGTGCAGAGTGTAAATTAGATACACTGACTAAATTTTTCCTGGGATTTTGGAACAGCCTGCTGAGAAATACCCATTCCTGGTATAGAACTTAGTGTGTTCTGACAGGAACAGTGATACCCTGCATGAGAGATCTCCAATCTCCTCTTTTTCCATCCAGAAACCTTTTTCCAGGCAAAGCACAGGCACTCTGGTCATTTCTTGTGGCTTTCTAGAGGTTCAGCAGCCTGGTCAGAGTAAAACCCCTGAGAAGAGTAAAAGGTACCCAGAAATTTCACCCACAGAGATACAACAGATAAGAATTCTCATGGGAATTCCTGTGCTGGAACCTCACATCCCTCAAGGGCTCAGTCAGAACAGAGCCATCCCTGGAGAAGGGGCCTGCTCTGGTCTGAAAATCCCAGCTGAAATGACAGAGATTTCTCCTTTGTGGCACAGCTCTGGCACTGCTGGGCCCAGCAAGAGCAAACCCCCCCTTCAATGTGACATGAATACACAGCTCTAAATGCTGAGCCCCTGTGCCTTCCCCGTGGTGTCAGACATTCAGCTGGGGAAGTCTTCACGCTCTGATGAATGAGTAAAACTGCTCATTAATTTCTGATCACAGACAAACTCGTTGGCACAGTTTTGCTCAGGCCATAGTTTGCTTTGCTGTGTTGGTTCTGCACGGAGCTGAAGTGTCAGTCCCAGCCTGTGCAGGGAAAGTCGTGGTGGGGGAACACTAGACAACATTCTGGCTGGCTTTTTTCCTTTTTAAACGTTTTTACTGCTGAAGAGTTGCCCGAAGCCTCAGGTCTTTCTCAGGCTGCAGTTATTAAAATAATGAGTTCCTCGGGAAAGGCTTTCCCCTCTCTCAGCCCAGATGCCCTCCCGCAGGGACTGGGCGGGAGGACAGCCGGGATGGAGCTGGCAGGAGTGTCCCTGCCTGTCACAGCCACCAGGATGGAGCAGTGTCCCTGTCTCTGCCTGCCTGTCACAGTCCCCAGGATGGAGCAGTGTCCCTGCCTGCCTGTCACAGCCCTGGGACGTCTGCAGCACCACCCAGTGCCCCTGCAAGTGAAGGGATTTCTGTTCTGGATGCATCAGTAGCTTTAACGCTTTCTCCTTAAAGCTGGCAGTGTCTGACTGATCACCTGACTCTGTGGTTTTCATTATTTGTTCCAAATTTTGGTCATATCTTTGTCTCTGTTTCGAAAAATGATGACTGTAAAAGTTTTCAGGGGCAGCAGCATTTCATTTCGTTTGCAAAGATTGAGGAGCCTTTGATTAACCTGTGAAAATTATCTGAATCAAAGGAAATGTGGGAAACATATGGACAATCTCTCCTCTCCCTCATTAGGAGATAAAGTGTCCTTGCTCCTTATTTTCATCCTAGTGTTGGAGATAACAGCTTTGCCTTTCTGCTGGATATCAAGTCAAACAAATCCAGATTGGAAAAAAGTCTCTTGGCTGATATGGGAACCAGGATCCTCACGTTTTTACATTAAACCCCAGTGTGGTTTGTAATTACAAACTGGGGTTGCAAAAGACCCTTTTGTCCCTTCCTGTGTTGTTTAGGCATCTTTTCTATTTTCTGTGGGGGACTGTGTAACAGGGGACAAACCTATGCTGTGGGCACACTCACCAGCTGGGTGAGTGCTGAGTGGGAGCATCTCAGCATCCCTGAGCTCCATCCCGTACAGGATTGTCTAGGCTGGAAATGTCCAAACATAAAGGAGGAGGGGGCTGGCTCAAAGAAGTAAAACACAATTCCCAAAAGTGAAAACCACATGTAAATGCAAAGTGCACCAGGTAAAACAACTGATGCTTACTTGCTTATTGTTTGGCTTTTTTTTCCCCTTCAGAAGGTAGATGCCAAACAATTGATGCTATGAAAGGCCCTTCCTGTTGTATTCTTTGTGTTTCTTTTTTTTTTACTAAGTGTGTCCAGGCATAAAAGATATTTTTAAGAAGTTCACAGATTTTTAGGCCTAGAACTTGAATTTTCTTCTTCAGTCCTCCCTGTTATCCATCCCAGTGCCCAGCAAAGAGCCAGCAGAACTCCACTCCTTTCCTGCCTTTCACAGCCTCCCTGGGCTTCCAGAAAGGAATGCCACATTCCTGCCCGCACCAACGCAGCCAGATTAAATATTAACTGCTGGAAATGGTGCTCATTTCCCTCACAGATGGTCTGGGTGAGGTTCCCCAGGCTCTGGAGTCCACGGGTACCGCAGTGCCTGCGATGCTGATGACAGTGGCTGAGGAAGGAGTTCCCATCCTGGAGCAGGACTGCACATCTCCTGCCCCCCTCAGCACACAGCCATCAGATCCAACCCTCCTGTACAACCAGAACCTCAGGCACCAGGATTTCATCTCCAAATCTATTATTTCAAATCTGAGCTGCCCAGCTGTGGGGTCTGTGAGGGGCATTGCCTGTAATGACAGCAGCATCAAGTAGTTCACAGCCACATTTGGAAACAAAGGAATTCTTCATGGAAAGACCATAGCCAACTACTTACTAGTTACTCTCAACATCTAATTCAAAGCACAGCTGCTGCTGTGTGAACAGGAGCCAGAAATGCTGCTCTGGGTGAAAGCTCTGGAGTTTTGGTGTTTTATCAAAGTATTCCCTTTGCTTCCAGAGAGTTTGTGCAGCTGGTCCAAAGCAGCCGTGTTCCAAAGAATTCTGCCACAGAACTGCCAGGGGGCACAAGTGGAAGCAGGAGGCGAGTGCCTTCACACAGAACACAGCAATTCCAGGCATGGAATTGTTTATAAAGGATCACGCTCTAAAGGACAATGATCATTTTTGTCTGACAGTTGTTACGGCAGCATCAGCTGATCAACATGGTCTGGCAGAGCAGTACAAGCTGGAATCACTGCTGAAATGCTGAGAGCTGTTCACGTTGCTGACTGGCTTCAGCACTGGGAGTGGCAGAGTGGCTCTGGAATAATGCACAGCCTCCCCTCTATGATGAAATAATGCACAGCCTCCCCTCTAGGGTGAAATAATGCACAGCCTCCCCTCTATGATGAAATAATGCACAGCCTCCCCTCTATGATGAAATAATGCACAGCCTCCCCTCCAGCCCCACACTGTACAATGCAGTCACACTGCCAGCACTGCCACAGATGGGCAGGCAGGGACAGGGAGCAGCAGTTCCCTCCTGCCAGTGAGGGACACTGCATTTCAATGTCTGATTTCATTCTGATGTGACCACAGAGGGTTGTTGCAGC